ACATACTCAACATGGTGGGGTTACATCTGTCTTGCTCTTCAACTACTCCTTGATTTTTAATGGTGGCTGGAAGTACCCTGTTCTCTCTGTTTAGCTGGAAGGTGACCATGCCCCTCTTGCTGCGGAAAGCACCAGTTATCCTGGCTTTTGTGGCCTCCAGACTGGATGATTGCAATGTGCTGCCCTAGAAAGTCATTCAGAAGCTTCAGCTGGTGCAGAACACAGCTGCTTGCTTCACTGTTAGCTTTGCAGCGCGGGCTCCCAGTTCATTTCTGGAGTGGAACCACTATCATGTGACTCGTGACCAATCACACACCATGCAGGAGAAAGAGGGGAGAGTTTGCAAACACTCCATAGGCTGAACATTGTTCATCCAAATGCCTCCTCAACTACGCCACAAACGTTGATTAGTCAGGAAATCAGGATGGCTTTGTGAGTGACTCTCAAATGATTATTTGCAACAAGTGATCAGCCCAGCTCCATTAGCAGAAGGCCTGAAGATTGAACGAAACCTGCTAGCCTTCATAAGAAATGCAGCTGCCTCGTCAGGAAATTGCAGTTTTTACAATGTGAAGTACATGGCATAGACTTGCACAAGCCACGTGCTGGGGGCAGAATGGTAACATAAATGCAGGTATGTGCTACCTTAGGATTCGACAGTGCTCTGCAAGCTTGCCACCAATCCTTGAATTTACGCTTAAACTACAGGCCTAAAAACCCAACGTTTGTTCAAACCCTAGTCAATTAGAGTCACTTTCCCTCCTCCTCCCCTTCTTTGCTTCCTGAATTACAGGTGAAAACCGCTTAGCATAGTGGGTGCAATTGCTCTGTAATTGGTAAAGTAACTGTAACTGCACTGTCATTTGTATGTAGTGACATGTAATTGCACAGTAAGCATTGCTGTGGTTGCACGAGCGAAGTGCAGTTTGTAATTATAATGTAACGCCGCCCAAATGCTGGCTTCCAGTCCCACTTCCATTGTATCACAGAGTTCCTTTGCCGAAGGGCGCTGATGGATTTGGGTGTCATTTGGCTGCATGTTAGCTGCTGAAGAGAATGGTTGGTTGGTGGTCTACGCTTTCTTTGGCTAGTGGCCTATGTTTTCCATCTTTCTAGCCCACAAGATGGAACAGACCTACTAGACCCTCCAGTCCATATCCCTGCAAACATAGAATAAAGATTTCCCTAGAGCTTCTGTCCTGCCTGTTGTTTAAATATCTCCCCAAATTAGCCTTTTGGATACTTTCTGTTGGAAAGATCTTGAAATCAGCTGATGGAAGAGATGCTTGTTATCTCCTTGCAAAGACCCAAATGCCTTCTGATGCTGAATCTGTATTCCTATCGGCTGTCTGGGTCGGCTCTGCTGGAAGCACGAGCAGCTTAAGTGTGTGCATGCATATTGCAGTAGCCAAGCCTGTGATAACTGGCGTGAGTAGCCAAGTACCTGCCACTGTATAAAGAGAGAACTTCCAGCTATTAGCTGTAAATCAAAAGCAAGACCTGGCCATTGAGGACAGCCTGATCCCCCAGTGAATCTCTGGGATAGCTTTGCAGACTGTTGAGATCCCTGGAAAAAGGCCCTTCTACTGCTCTGTGCTTTGATTAGTGAGAGAGATGCTGCCAAAATGAAAGCGAGGAGGAACTGGGGATAGCTAATCCCATCTGTAGGATTTCCCCAAAATATGGATTAGGCAGTGTTTTTTATCTGGGGCTGTTTAGAGACACATAGCTAAAGCAGATGTTTAAAGGACAATTGAGATTTATTGTAGCTCCCGTTCAGGCCGTCTCCCTGATATCTGGCACTTAAATCCGCCAGCTTGGACAAGTTGCTCTCTCCTGCCTGTGGGATCAGATGAGGTGGTGGAAAGAGGCGAGTCAGAACGGTAATCCCTCTGCTGAGATTCAAGTTCTTAGAGGCCCTGACAATCCCTAGCAAGAGCAGAGATGGGCACAAGCCACAGTTGGCCCAGCAAAGTCATTCTTTCCAGGAGGGCTTGGAGCTGTTTTTAATGGACTTAATCTAGGGACCATCACGGTCCTGCCAGAATCCTTCACTAAATCAAACTATTCTTCGCACATCCTCCTGATTTTCCGAAGCAAATGTACTGCTTGGCCAGCGTGTCCCATTGGCAGCTCTGGACACTGCAGTCCTCTGTTTATCCATCCACAGAATGGGGATGATGAAAACAGGCAGAGAGAGTATCCCCAAGTGTCCTGCCAATGTCCCTCGGCCCTGAACTGGAGAGGGAGCTGCTAGGGCTTAGAGAACAGCCCTGCCCCCTTGTTAATTGAATGCGGAACTGCCAACTATTTCACGTGACAGTATTTCAGATCTATAGAACACCTTGGGTATAAGTGGTCCCCAGGGGGGGGCGGCAGGCCGGGCCAGTCCTCATGGGGGGGTGGGGAAGAAGCGCCACCCAGCCCTGCCCCACCCCCAGCTCTGCTCTGGCCCCACCTACAGCTGCAGCCCCAGCTCCCGACCCTGTGCTTGACCCCATCCCCAGCTGCGGAGTGGCTCCACACCTGGCTGGGGGTCCAGCTGCCAGTCCCCAGCATGGTCTGGCTCTGCTCCTGCCCTCAGCCCTGCCACGTGTCTGTTCCCAGCCTCTTCCCCAGCCTTAGCCCCTGGCAAGGGCGGCATTCCCAGCCTGAGGTCTAAACTGCGGGCGGGGTCAGGGATGGAGCCGCACCCGGCCACGGGCCTGGCTGCCAGTCCCCACCATGGCCTGGCTCTGCTCCTGCCCTGCCCTCAGCCTCGGTCCCTGGCTGCAGCTCCGGCCCCAGCCCCACCCTCAGCTGTGGCCCCAGTCCCCTTATCCCTGTCTGTGTCACAGCTCACCCAACCCGAGCCACGGCCCTGCTCCTGGCCCTGGCTCCAGGGAGGGCTGGGGGATGTGGACGGGGGAAGTGGGGTGTGTGACCCTCAAAATTTGGGGACCACTGCTCTAATAGCACCTTACAAATTAATCTGTCCTCAGAATACACCAGGGAGGGAGGGTTCTATTATTATCCCCATTTTACACGTGGGGAACTGAGGCAGAAAGAGATTAAGTGACTTGCCACAGGTCACACAGTTTGTGTCCGAGCCAGGAATTGAACCCCAATTTCCTAGTGTCCAGTCCTATGTCTCAGTCACACAACTGGCTTCAGCTCATAATACGATTTTCTAGGCTGGATTCGAACTGACACAGTGAGTGAGAGGGGGCAAAACACTGATTCTATTCCCGTTCCCTGGGTATTTCCTTTTGCATCTTTCAGATGTCCTAATTCGGCCAACAGCCATCTTGGAACATCTGGCATTCCTGGTGCATTAATGTACTAGCTGCATTTTTTGTTCTTAAAAGTAGTTAATACAAAATGGTCTAGCTGAGAAGGCTCTGGAGAATTTAGCCCGGCTACTCTATATTGCCTTTAGGAGTGTCTGGAATTGAAAACAAACCTGTACTTGCAGCTCCTGACCTCCCCAGCATAAATCTGAACTTACTTTAATGTTTCTCCTGACTAAAGGAGGCGGGTATATTGCTGTCTTAGCTGTGTATAAGATATAAACACTATAGCTGAGAGCCACAACTGCAAGGGGCTAGGTAGTGGTATAGATAGGGGACTTTTTTGTATCTCTGCAGTCGATCTTGGAGACAGAATCATATTAGCTGAAAATCATTACCATGTGGTGTGTCTTACTTGCTAGCCTCCGTTCACTTTCGGACCTAGAGGACAGTTGCCTGCATAGCAAAGAGTATTCCTATTATTGCCTTATTGGCAATTGCGTCCGAGAAAGTGATTGAATGATCCATGAAGACTGAACTAGACATGGTCCGGCAGGGTTAGAGAATGTTGTGGGGGACCCTGGTCCTGCAGCTGCCTCTTCTGAGGATGATAGCAGGCACTTCACTCTTGAAAAGTACCATGAGCACCAGGCTGTGTTGCTTGTAAAAGCTTGGATGAAATCAACAGGTTTTCGCCTTTTGTTTTGCATCTAAAATGGACAAAATTGTGACATCGATCTGATTTCAATGCAAAACGCAAGTTCATTTGGAGCCAGGTCCAGTCTCAACCAGAAGAAATAAGTCATGGTGATCAGAGGTAAATCTCCACTTATCTGGAGATGTTTTCAAGAACTGCTGGCTGAGCTAGTGCTCAGTGCAGGAATCACTGGGTGAGACTTTACAGCCTGCATCATGCAAGAGGGCAGACGAGATGGTCACAATGGTCCCTTCTGCCCGTAAGCTCTTTCAGCCAGACTGGTCAGTGTTTGCTGCAGTTAAGTGAGTGGAGTACGCGGGTAGATAGTTATACCAGGGATGCCTTGACCTCATGTCTAAGGATCACATGCCAACCAGCCTTCGCCTCTCCGTGCTTGCCTGCTGCCAGCCCTGATGTTTTGGGTGGGGTTTCATATCCTGGATCCAGGGTGAAGTGTCTTGGTTCCCATTAATGAAAAGCATCTTTTTAGTGGCGAAATAGGTTCCCCCTTTTTTCTTCAAAGCCATGAGAAGAAATAGGGGATTTTTTTTTCACACCAATAGGATGGGACTTCTTCATTTCCCTCTCTGTCTGTCTGACAAGTGGATCAGGCTAAATGTGGGCCTGGTTTTGTTACACATGTGAAACATCAATCACGTTAACTGCAAGGTTCGCTAAGGGTTCTGGTCGAACTGGGCCTGATTGCAAGTGAATTTTGGTGCAATTTACTCATCCTAGAACATAAGAACAGCCATTCTACCTCAGACCAACGGTCCATGTAGCTTGCTGTCCTGTCTCTGACAATGGCCAGTACCAGATGCTTCAGAGAGAAACCCAGTAGCAGACAGCTATTGAATAATCAACTCATAGTTTGTTTCTTCCTGACCCCATGCAGTTAGTGGTTGACTGAGTCTCTGAAGCATGATTATTTATATCCCATTTATATTTTTTTATCCTATCTAATGTAACTGTTGATGTTCCCATCCATATAAATATTCGAACTTTGTTCAAATACTACTAGGGTCTTGGTCCCAATGGTATTTAGCTTCACTGAGTTCTACAGGGTAATCACTGTGTACAATTCTGTTACACAAAGGATGAATTTGGCCTTTGGAGTTTGGCCCCATACCTTTTATGCTAAATTGTCTACTGGCGTGTAAACTCATAGCACCCAAACTGTGACTCATGGAGTCCTAAGATTTGATCCATAGTTGCTCTCTGAGTTGATGTTTTAACTCCGGAGGTGCAGTCCCCAGAGATTAATGATTCTAACAGGCTAGAGCTCAGGTCTTGCTGTTCTTTTCGAATAGCTCTTTAAATGCTTTGGGGGGGCTTTGTATGTTTATTACTATTTTTAGGACACATTACTCTCCTGTTCAATAAAACCATCTGCAATTATTCCCTGTAATTGCCAGGTGAGGACAAAGCTGATCAACTGCAGGCTTTTATTGCTAGGGAACTCAAGCAAGAGCAGTAATTTCTAGCCATGTGTCAAGGAAGATATGAGCAAATATAAAGCAAATATAACAGTAATGCTCATGATCGTTTATTATTGATCTAAGAAAATTAGATAGACATTCTGTGCACTTATTTAATTAACACTTATAGGCCTCAATCCAGCAAAGCATTTAAGCACATGCTTAAGTGCTTTGATGAATCATGTTCATAGAACCTATTGCCTTGGCAAATGTGCTATTATACACCACACTCTGGCCATCTAGGGCTGCTTCCTTGTCACCACCTAGCGTGCCGTGACCAACTGGAATGTCGCAACACCAGCACTGATAGAACTGCAAAAGCACGTATTGCTGCTACTAGAGCTAAAGGAGAGAACCTCTGTTAACAGGGTAGGGTCTCCTAACATCCAGTCTAATGCCCTCCTCACCAAACCGTGTTGCCTAAAGCTAGGTAGAAGAGATGTTTTTGCCAATGCCGTCTGCTGCAGCGAATACATTGCCTATTGATCTTCTAGGAAGCACCATCAAAGAAACCTAACCATATGCTAAACCAAATGCATTCACAGCTTCCACCATATTCTGATGGCCGTCCACTTTGGGCTCTCGTGGACCAAGTTCCAACTATGAAGGTCCTCTGTGCCAATCCTGAGGCATTCAAGTCCAGAAAGAGACAGTAGTAGCCCAGCAGATCGTAGTGGTTGTGAAGGTGTATAAGCGGGCAGGGCAGTTTTTCAGGTTGTTAGGGCTTTACCAGATGTCTTCAGCACTTGGAAAGAAAGAGAGAGCCACTACAGCGCTCCAGTTACAGAACTTGTCCTCCATGGGCCCAAAGTGCTTTACAGACACTTAATGAGTTAATCCTCCTCAAAATCCCCCTTTGAGGTGGGTAGGTGTTAGTGACCTCCATTTTACAGAAGGGAAACTGAGACCCAGAGAGGTTAGCTGACTTGACCAAGCTCGCATTGTATGATTGGGGGACCGGGAATAGAACCCAGGAGTCCTGACTCTGATTCCCTTAGAGATACAAGGTGGGTGAGGTAATATCTTTTAGTGGAACAGCTTCTGCTGGTGAGCGAGACAAGTGTCTGAGCCACACAGAGCCCTTCTTCAGGTCTGGGAAATGACTCCCTTGTGATTTATGTGCATTTCAGACACAAACTGGGAATATTTAAGCTGAGATTCTTAACAGACCATGGGCTTGGTTGTTAGGTCATGAATGATAAACTAATAGGCAAAAGGATGAGGTGATGTGGTCCAGCGGGTAGGGCACTGCACTAGGATTCAGGAGGCCCTGGGTTTTATGCATGACTCTACCACTGACTTGCTGTGTGACAGTGGGCTAGTTGCCTTCCCAAAAGTGGGGGAGGGGGAGCAGAGCCCCCCACCCCTGGCCAAGCCGGAAGCTGAAGCTGGGCCGGGAAGCCACGACCCTCCACCTGCTCAGGATGGGGGTGGGGGGCCCAAAAGCAGCCTGTGTCCCCACCTCTGGGGCCCCCGCCCAGGGCAGGTGGAGGGTCCGAGGTTCCCCATAGCTGTCCGTGTGGTTCTTATCCCCACCCGCTCCGGTTGGGGGTGGGACCTCGGAGCCGCAGCCCAGCCATGGTAAGAGCTGCGCGGGCAGCTGTGGAGAGCCGGGGTCCCTCCACTTGCCCTGGGCGGGGAGCCTGGGGCTGCTCTCAGGGTCAGGTGGATGGTCCATGGCTCCCCAAAACTGCTGGGCTCCAGCTGCCCCCGTTCCAGCATCCCTGGCTGTTTGTCTTGTCTCTTTAGATTGTAAGCTCTTTAGGCCAGGGAATGTCTCTTACTGTGTTTGTAGAGCATCTGGTATGGGGCCCTGATCTTGGCTGGGGCCCCCTAGGTACTCCTGTATTATTAATCCATGTTCAGTGGCCTCATGCTCTCTCTCCTCCTCCCCCTTCTGTTCACAGCTGTTAACAATTGATGACAATTTCTGCGGCCTGGATATGAATGCCCCTCTGGGAGTATCGGAGATGGTGCGAGGTCTCCCCATCTTCACCGAAGACGGGGACAGGATGACCTCCGTGATCGCCTACGTCTACAAGAACCACTCACTAGCGTTCGTGGGCACCAAAAGTGGCAAGATGAAAAAGGTAGGCCTGGCCCAGCGTGGCCTTCCTAAGTCAATGCTGCTAGTTGCCTTGGAGACTGGCTGCATCGAGATGAGTGGGGAGCATTTTATAGCCCTGGTGCACGGTTACCTATTTTGTGAGTTGAATTGTATTGGTTGATTGCACTTCAGCTCTGAGGGATTAGGCTGACCTGACTGAGGGGACAAGTCTTCTCCTAACGTTGCACCTTCCAGAAGATGTGTGGCCATGGGTCTAGCCACCTTCAGACTTTGGTGTAGCGTAGATCCAAGTACAAACTTTTTCAGCTCAGACTGTCTAATTAAATGGCTGATCACAGGGTGTCTGTGTGCGCTGTGGAGGAAGAACTTACTGGCTTTGTGGGTTATTAAGAAATATGACTCATACTTTGGAGATGTTCCTTTAGAGCGATGTGACCAGACATGCTTTTACCACAAACCTAGCATGGAAGTTAGTGGTTGCTTTATCTGGGTAAGGCTGAGTGTGTGTGTATGCAAAGGGAGAAGGATTTCTATGAAAGAAGAGCTGTGTTTGAAAGGTAATAAGCATTGTGTTTACTGGGTAACCATGGTCGACTCCATATAAATAAATACTCTTTTTATGGTATCTGGGCTTAAGTCCCTCTCAAAGTTACTAGGTACCCTCCAAATGAACTGTACATGTCCATGGCTTAGCTATAGCTTTGTATTGTAACAGCTGCTGTCATTTATTATATGGGGCACTAGTGTTTATCTTCGGAAGCTAAAGCCAAGACTGAAAGACTTTTACCAGTGGTTTTGGCAGGTGTTTTATTCTTAAGCTACTAAGAGCCATTAAAGGTAACCTTCCAATGCTAAAAATGGGCTCTGTGCCCCCTTTTAGAGCCCTGTATGATGCAGGAACAGCGTGGCAGTGTTTGCCTGAGTAACCGCAGCAGGAACATCCTCTGGCTCTAAGTGGTGTGCATCGTTACCACGTCAGAATATAGAGGTGTGGGAGTGGCTCTCTAGAGTGGAGAACTAGGATGTGTACTGAGCAGTCCCCATGGAGGAGCCTTGGAAGCTGCCAATCTTGGGAAGAAGACTTGGGCTGGATTTTGTGTTGTTTCATTTTGAATTCCCTTTGTTAATAAAAGTTAAACCCCAAGAGTGTGTGTGTGTGGGGGGAGCGGGTTGTGTGTGTGTGTGTGGGGGGGGGTTAACTGGTGACCTGTTACAACTTGTGTGGACTGTGTATGGAGCAGGGTGAGGGAAGTCACTTGGTCACAGGTATCTTCTGCTTGCTTTTTATCTTAGAAATATCAGGTATGTCAAGTCTGGTCCAGCCTTCCCTGTTCACGTGGAGGTCTGCCCTGGAGGACCAAGATATGTTCATTGGGAACTGTTTCAGTCCTTAATTAAAGGGGGAGCGGGGTAGGGCTGTTGAATGGTCAATAAGAGGTGGTTTTTTTTTTTTAACTGCTGTGTGTTCAGACATGGGTGAAATGGGCTCAACCCAAACAAGCTAAGTCGTTTGTAAACCATTTGAGTAAAAATCATTTTCCCCGCCACCATTTAATTACTTTTCACTTCCCTGTTATCCGTGATGTCATCGTAACCTGGCTAATTCTCCAACAGCCTATAGTGTCTGCTAGGAAAAAATAAGGGAGATGAGATCTGAATTACAAATGTTTAAAAAAAAAAAAATTAGGCTGCACCCCCAACACTTTCATACCTTCTTTATGTATCATAAGATGCAAAATAAGGCACAAGCTCTCTCCTTTTCCCCCTCCTTTGCACGTCATTTTACAGACTCTAGGAACTGATCTTTCTGTTGGGAGCATAGAAAACCCGGGCATACCGGCTGGGAAGGCTTTTATTTTTACAGTGTGTGGCAGAGACCAGGGGCATCCTTTTAGGGTAAAGAATCAGAGGAGGGAAGCTGAGCTGCTGACGGGAACCTTGGAGAGCTGCCTTTTGTTCCATGTTTACTAAATGTGAATAATGTTCTGCAGACTGTAGCTAACAGGGAATGGACGTGAGAGCAGTGCGGGAGCACAGGGGCTGGGATCAGCAGTCAGCCAACCAAGTGTCTTTTTGAGAGGCAGCTTTTCCCATGCAGTGGGCCAGCAAATCTGGGGTACCCATTCCCTGCAGAAATCTCTCTCATTCCATCATCCCTCTTGCTAGGAGAACAGGATGCGACTCCCAGCAATGCGACTCCTGGTCCGCCTAGAAGGATGGCCAGTGAGCAACCGCTCCGAGCTTAGAACACCAGCTTCCCTCCCCTTCCAAATCCCACGCATCCTGGGAAATTTAAAGGGCCGGTCCGACGCTCAGACATTGCTTCCCTCGCATTGCAGGCGCATGGCCTTGCCACTAGGTCTGCTCAAGAGCCTCGGATTTTCACCTGGGACTAACTGGCGCCTGCTTTTTGGGGCTTCACAGTTGGTTTGGTCTCGTCACCCTGGAAGTCTTGTTCAATAGCGGGGGAAGAGGAGTGGCCGAGAGAGCTGGTTCCAGCTCTCCCCATCGATGCTGCTGCTGCTGCTAATCCATCCAATTAGCATAGAGTTTGATTTGGGGTTAGAGAAATAACTCCTATGGGCAAATCAGTCTCTGAAATAACCTGTGTAGGCTCAGATGAACCTATGGACCAAGGCCAAGGCTCTCCCAGTGCCTGTCTCCCAATGGATCCTAGCAACAATGGTATTTTACTGCTCCCCCCCACCCTCCAGACAGCTGGTGTAATGTAACCGGCAGGGCCATACCTGGTGATCCATTTCTGGGTCAGCCAGATTGGGTGAGCAATATTGCATAAGGGATGGAGTTCTAATACACTTGTTTGCCTTAAAGGTACAGGATCTGTTTACTTCTTGATACTGAAAGGTTTGCTGCAAGTAATTAGCAGACCGTTTTGGAGAAACCCTGTTTCTCCGCAGTTAAGAATGTACTGGTTTTTGTGTGTATTTGTGTTTGTTTTTATATAAACGATACAGATCATATCTCAGGTTCTCAAGACGCACCATTTGTGGAAGCCCTGCAAACTACCCAGTCATAAAGCAATATCAGTTGGTTGATATACAAATGTTATATCCGTCAAAGGAATTTTCCAGTGACAGACAATTGAAGTAAAATATTGTGCTTTACAAGAACACATCATTAGAATGAAAACTAGCCGCGTATCGAGAGTCTGGCCACGTAACCAAGACAACAAAGAAGAAAGAAAAGGGAAAACCAAGCTACAGATGGAGTGGAAAAAGAGTGAATGAAACAGAACGAAGAGATAAAAAGGACAAAAAGCAAAGTGGTCTAGAGGGAAAATCCCCCATGGCACAAGCACATGTTAGAAACTGGAAATGTTAATTGAAAGGTTTGGTGAAGGCTGGTGTCATTTATGAGCTGAGTGGAGGGTTGGTTCAGTGGTTAGAGACTTGGGAGACCCAGATTCAATTCCCTGCTCTGCCACAGACTTGGTGTGACCTTGGGGAAATCACTTCGCCTTTCTGGGCTTCAGTTTCCCATCTGTAAAATGGGGATAACACTTACCTTGCACAGAGGAGTGCTGTAAGGACAGGGCCGGTTCTAGGATTTTTGCCGCCCCAAGCAAAAAACATTTTGGCCGCCCCCCCTTTATTTTCATGGCCCCTGGCCCCACCCCAACCCCCCCCCCTCCCCCAACCCCCCCCCCCCCCCCCCCCCCCGGGGCGCCCCCCTTTCCCCCCCCCCCCCCCATTGCTTCCTGCGGGGCCCTCCCGCCCTAGCTCGCCTCCACTCTGCCTGCTCCGCCTGGCAAGCCTGGAAGGGAGGGGGGAGAAGCGGAGAGGCGGCGGCACGCTAAGGGGAGCAGGCGGAGGTGGAGCGGAGGCGAGCTGGGGCGGCAGGGGCACTTTTTCCCCATGCCCCGGAGTTGGCGCCTATGATGGCCGGCGCCAGAATGCCGCCCCTAGAAATGTGCCACCCCAAACACCTGCTTGTTTTGCTGGTGCCTGGAGCCGGCCCTGTGTAAGGATGAATACATTTAAGATTGTGAGGTGCTTAGATATATGGTACTGGTGGCCTTATAAATTCCCTACATTGGTTTTATATCTCTTCCAAAGACACATAATCTAAGTCCTGATCACCTGTGGTCACTAAAACTCTGTGTGGGCCCTAGAATTGTGGATAGATCAATCTATAGACTGCAAGGAAGCCGTGTCCAAGCTGCAAATCAACTAGGCCCTAGTGTTAGGGAAGGGCAGATGACCATGCAAAGCAGAGTGGAGGTTCTATGTGTGTGTGGGGTTGAGGTTTGGCCTAGAGAGAGGGCTGCATCAGTTCAACCCTGCAGGGAGTGATTTCCACCCAACTCTCTCAACAGGGCTGTGCTGTAACCAGGCGCCATAGCTGTGTAGGGGGAGGAATGGATTTATTTATTCAACAACATTTTACCAAGATAAATAGCTCTTGGAGACGGGAAAACAGCAGAGGAGCAAGTGTGGTAATGGTGGCTGTGCGTGGGTTTGTGTAATTGGGCAGCACGGCTGCAGAATACTAAAGCACTCGTGTAAGGCGGGAGAATTTTTTTTTCTTTTCATCCCTTATTCCACCTGTGTCCAAAGAAACTGAGCAAATAAAGGAGCTCCAGGTTTGTCATGTGGAGATGGTGAGTTCCCATTAATTGCAGGTAAACACAATGATCCTTTACTATTTATCCATGCGATTGGGTTTCTGAATATGCAGCTGATGATGAGCTGATTTTGATGTTCCCTGGAGGACACTTGGTTGCTGACGTCTCCATGCAAGGTGTCAGCAGAGAAACCAACTTTTCTCCTTCCTTCTGCTTTGAGGGAGTTTGATTTGTGAAAGTTTATTTATTGTTTTTAAATGTTTGGTGACTGGACTTGACTGCAATGCAAAATAACAGTGTGACGTCTCCCACATCTGCTGAGAGGTCATCTCCTCCCAGCTTCTGACCTCAGCTGGAGTCTGAGAATTATTCTACCTTCTGGTGATGGAGCTGGAAGATACATCCCTCTCTATTATATTTATTGATATCTCTGAAAG